GTCTCTGTACTTTAATTTTAAAGCTTATAAGTCTAATAGGGTAGTAAAGCAGAGAAAGGAAGTTAGAACTCTAGGCTGAAGGTGTAAGTTATATGCTAGAAGAAAAGTATAAGGTGCTCTAGAACACGTAGTTTAAAAAATGAAAGTTGGGGCAGACCCTTAAAGAGGAGGGACATGTAGATAGATAAGAATGAATTTGTTTCCCACTTCTAATTCTGGTCAGATCAGGCCCTAGAAAGCAGGACTACCCAAAAAAGGAACTCCCTCTTCCTGTTGCAACTCTATTCTCTCTTAAGAAACCAAAAAAAGCTTAAGCTGGGTCTTGAAAAAAATGACTTAGATGGCAAGAGATGGGGGCAGGGGTGCAATTCAAGTGTATCTTCAGGGAAGAGAGAAGGCACTTGAAGCCAAGGGACCAGCAATGCCTGGCTTATGAGAAACCAGTGATGGCTGACGCATCACTTTTGTGAACGGGAAAAACAGCTGGAAAGGAATATTAGGACCCTGATATATACATGATGCTGCCAGGCACTGAACAGGGTACATGTCTAAGACCAAATTGCTGCCCCCTAGGAGCTTACAGTTATAACAATACAAGGTGGAATAAGCACCACAATGTACAGAATGCAAAATGCTGAAGGACTTAGGAGAAAATTACAGCTGAGTTTCAGCTATTAACACATTAGGATACCCAATAGCTTTCTGACAATTAGTAGTAAACCCATCCCTGAGGGGAACACAAGATAATGTCCTTAGACAACAGGCCCTGGTAAAACTGGGCATTTAGTTTTAAGAAAACCTGGGTAGGAAAACTGAGCTATAGAAGCAACTGGGTAAGCATACAAAATGTGGCACCTTCCCTTTTCTTCCTACACCCAAATCTTTAACAGCACTATGCTTCCTACAGTTAATCTACTAGTGATCCCTAAAGGTGCACCATACTGCTTCAACAGCCAATTTGGGACACTCTACTAATTGATTCTCTGAGCCATCTCTCTTTTGTAAAATGAAGGGGTTATAAAAATGTTCCTAGTTCTTTGCAGAACTAACACATTCTATGAGTCAAAGAATTCTAGGAATCTCCTCTAACCCTTCAGGTGATAATCAGAATGGGAAGCAAAACATTTAAGGAAATGTTCTGACATTTCTCACTTAAAAATATAATTTTTCAATACAGATCACAAATAACTCCTGTTCCAACAGTTAGTTTCACCTCCACTCCACCGTTCTTCCAAATCTTATCATCCACCCATATTAATGTTCTACAGGCTACTCAAGTGTGCACTGACTCACCAAAAAAAAAAAAAAAAAAAGGTCTCTTCTTCCCTACTTCCTTATGCCAGGGGTTCTTGGTATAATTTCTTCATTTTAAAAGGCCAAACTAGTGTATATACACATTTTATAAAAACATTTAAGAACTTAAATCAAATCCAAATAGAATAGTGACAGTGACATCAATGCTTGAGGAAAGTATCAGTAATCAAAATGTTTAGTTAAAACTGCTATCCAGATTAAGTAAACAAGACGTATCTTCCCTCTAATAACTATCAAGCATATAGGCAAGCTTTCCATAACTAGGCTCCTGGGGAACGGGGATCTTAAAGTAACTCAATAGTGGAATTTTGGTAAATATCTCTTAATTTATTAAAAAACCTAAACCATACTGGATGTCTAGCCCTTAGCAATCTGTGACACCAGCCACATTTTTAAGTACCAATTTCTGTAATTGGCCAGGTCACATGGTTTAAGGAAATAATAGCTGAACTGATTCCCAATACTTTTTCTTTAATGGAGAACTAACAAAAGCTACCATGTTCACTTAGGAGGGAGACTATCAAAGGTTTTCAAAACAAGTGATACAAGCAAAAAATGAACAATCTTGATTCTAAAAACCAATACATAAGAATAATCAAAACCAAAACTGGTTAAGGATTTTAAGGCTGCCTCTAATCACTTTTACTCATTCAGGTCATTATTTGAGACATGAAACCATTAGCAGCACAGTCCAACTTCAGTATTAGCCTGAATGAGATACATTTCCCTAAAACTAATGTAAATAGAAATAAATTTTATCTTATATGTGCCACTTTTTCTCCTTTACTCTAAGCCTAGCTACGGTCCCCTGAACCTCAAATCATAGTAAACAAATACAAACCTCCAAATGACATTACAACCTTAAAACCAGAAATACTTAAGTTATCATCTAGTGCCACACAGCCATTACTTCATTCATCAGCAATTAAGCTTCCCCGGACCATCCCCACATAAATTTCTAAAACACTTGTGGAAGGCTCTATCTCTAAGTGTTCTCTATCCATTTGGTACATTAAGCAGTTAGCTAGAATCCCAGGTTCAAATAAATGTTGAAGTTTCTTCTTTTACAAGGTTGAAATTGCTGAACTGAAGGTCAACAATTATATGTCATTTATGTGCAGTTCTTGCAGATTTAAGTAGCCTAAAAATAAAATAGCTTCAATAGAAAAGATCAGTAGATTTGACAAATGCCAACCACTTACTTATAAGAAATAAGCCACTCAGAATAAACAATAATCTACAAATTTAAACTTCATAGGAAGATTATGTCCATAGAGTCTAACAAATTGCTTTCTATAAAGTGCCACAATGTCCACTAAATCATTAAACTCTACAAAAGGGTTTTCAAATAAGTATCAGAGAATGGTAGTTATAAGCACAAAACACAGTTACTATAAACTCACCTGGATTATATGCTATAATAAAAATATTGTTATCAATCACATCTAGATTTCAAGCCTGAACTAAATATATAATCAAACCAGTTGAGAAATTAAGAACAAATCACTATTATTGCATTACCATGTAGATAATCTACAAACCAAAAGGAGCCCTACAAAATCAAAGTTCAATGAACTTATTTACCCTACAGGAAATGAAGAACAGTAATGCTAATGTTTTGAATGTTTTCCAGACTCAGGTCTCTATAGTGTAGTAGTTTTATCAGTATAATGTCTTATTCACTAAGTAAGTCATTCAAATGTAAATAGGTGACCATGATGGCTCTTTAGAAAAAGCATCATTTTTGGAGGCCAATCTGCTTTTACATGTGTTGACTGATGCTGTTTCTTCCTAATCTATTATTTTAGATAATAATATTAGATGGTAACAATAATATACCATATTATATTATTATTTGGTAGTCACCTAATCCACAGGGCAATTTAAAAGTTTTATAACCTAAAACTAAAGTGCAATTCAACTAACTCTCTAGAAAACTCTCACCCAAAGTCAAATACTGGGGGTGGGAGGGGGGGGCGCATGGCACTATCCATTCCACTGCTTCTCAGCAATAGCTCAAAAAGCTGAGAACACAGGAATGAATATACAAGTAAAGCCTGACCTTACCCAAAAAAGCATACAAAAACTTATTTGCCCAAGATCTATTTTTCAGTAGACCTTAGAAGACCAAAACCCAGTGAACCAATCTAATCTTAACTAGCTAAAATGCTAACAGGTCAAGGGTTTTGAGTTGAGAAGTCAAGAACTATATACTGAGCATTCTGACAAATGGGAAATGTATTTTAAAACCGGAAAAACTTCAGTATGATGAGCTGACAGGGCCTATAGAGAAAATCTTGCCCTAATCTATTTTTAAAAAGTTATTTAACTTAAAACCAAGTAAATCACTGAGACAAAGATTTTCTCAAAAAAAACAAAGGTACAAATTCTTAATTAGTAAGACTTACTTTTTACACAAAACTACATCCATGATTATTTTCAATTTCTGTATGAAGACATGTATCTCTAGGGTCTCAAGTTATCCATTAAGCCAAAACAAACAATTCTTAACAGTGTTAAACTATGATGCTAAATCCTATTTCTCAAGTCCAATGATACTCAAAATTTTATAATCATCCCAATTCTGATGATCTGAAATGACATAAGACTTCTGTTTTCTGATCATGCAGTGATTTCCTACAAGCTAGAATATACCTATAATCTAGCATACTACCTTCCCATTTTTTAAAAAAGAAAAAAATTGGTAAAGTCACTATAATTCTGAAAAAGATTTCCAGTTCCTAATTATTTTATTTACATGACGTGTACTTCAAAAGAATGAGTCTTCACTCTGCCTTTCCTAATTCTACCAGTTCCCTCACCATACACAGCAGGAGTAGGGACTACCACCATTCTCAATAGAACTACTTGATTTTACAAACACTGGGCATCCTTGGCTCTAGGCCCTAAATGCCAGATAGCGTCTCCTTTTAGCTCCCCCCAACTCAAACATTTCCAAATGCACTCTAAGAGGTAGTAACAACCCCAAGTTGAAAATCATTGCATTTAGTTAGTGCCCCTAAAAGCCTGAGTAGAAAAACTTCTGTTTCGAAATGCAGTTCAAAATCCACTTGTGGAAAATAATTTCTAGGTCATCCATAATTTATAACATAAAGTTCCTACAACTTAAAATTTTTTTCAAAATAACTCAGGCTAACTTTTTTGCTTTCCACCACAAGCTTAATATAAGCTACAAAAGTACAAGCTGAATTTCTTCTAATTATCACTGGCCTGGGCCAAATGAAGTAGTTACCAAGTATTTATCTGAAATGACCCAAAGGGTGACTATGTGAGTCAGTTACTTAAGTTTCTTTATGTGAAGGGAATGCTGCCAATTTTCAAATATTTGAGGTACTGAGGCCCAACTGGTAATGTCAAACTTCATTTTAGTCTTTAAGACTACAACGCTTTAGCAAACCTAGATTTTCTCAGTAAGAGCAAAACAAAAAGTATTCGTAATTCCTATTCACATACTATCCTTACACAATAGTCCAAAAGATGAACACTGTTAAGAAGAAAATAAATAAGTTATATCTGACAATCTGGCTGCCCTTCGATTAGTAATGACAAGGTATCACACAAAGGCTTGCTTCACCAAATGTGGAAACAAAACCTTCATCCACTTCACACACAGCACTCAACAAGGAACATAATTTGTAAAACGAGTATTAGTCTATAGTGCCAGATTAAATTTTCTTCCAGAAATATTTTAATAAAAATTGGCCATTCCAAGAAACACCCACTGCATGCCCATCAACAAAAGAGAATCATAACAAAATAGAAAATTTATCACATGGCTATGATTTAGAGGAGGAAAAAAAAAAAACTAGCAGACACTGAAGCACATCAGCAAAGTCCAATTAAAGTCAATTCTTTGTCATGGGCTGTGACCAGGAATCTGATTAGATACTGAAAAACAATACAAATGCTGAAATATTTAGGTCAAAGGACCTCAAAGGCATTCCAGTTTGAGACTCAATTTCAGAATAAGGCATAAACAAATGTTAACAAAAGATACAAGGTAAAAAGGGACTCTAAAATTCCTCACATACTCTGAACCTGATAAAACAAATCTAGATTTGTTTTTATTATTTTTCTTTAAACAATTGCCAAGAATGGAGTCAAAGATAAATAGAAGGCACAACAGTTTTGTTTTTTTTGTTGTTGCTGTTGTTATCTGGATTTGGGAGGTTTTTTTGTTTTGTTTTGTTTTTTTTACAAATACAAACTAAACATGGAAAAACTCTACTTCAAAAAAATATTACATGAGAATATCAGTTGCTTTCCAGACATTTAACACTTATCTCACAATTTAAACTTCAATGGTAAAAAAAACAGGTTTTGAAATTGTTTAGTGATATCAAAACAAAAAACTTAACACTTTTTATTGTTTTTAACCATACCAACGAAAACCAAAATTGTCAATTTTTCCAATGAAATTTCTCCACACCAGAAGGTAGTCATGACTCATTTCAGTTTTTCTTGCCTTCAAAATGTTTTATCAAATCCTGTATTTCTTACAGGCGTTTGAAACACGTAGAAAATAAGTAAGAAATATTCCAATGAATGAAACATACCAAATGTCAGTAATAAGCAAGACACATTCCTTTGGGGAAATGGCTGTTAAAAAAAAAAAAAATCCAGTCTATATATGCAAAGTAAGCAAGGAAATTCAGTCTTTTTTTTCTTCTTTAAAAATCCGTTTTCCTAAAATATCATTCCACAAAATTGGAAGTGAAGGACTAAAAGATCAGGAGAGGAAGGGAGGAGGGAAGGGCTCACACACCATTAAAACAAAAAGGAGTAAAAGTGTACAAACTTAAGCAGTTTATAACAGACTAGGGTCATACTCCAAGATACCAAAGGCCAAAGGCTGGTTGAAGAAATTCACTCTTCTGCAGGAGCTAGGGTTTGTACTGCTGCGTGATGATCAGTGAAGAGGAATTCACTGCCTTGGAGCAATGCCCCTTCCTACTCCAAATCCTGGTTTCTGCACCATGCCTCCACGGGGAGGACCTCTCATTCCACCACCCAGCCCACCTCGCGGGCCTCCAGGTCCCCGCAGGCGGTTATCTCGACGGTCTCCTTCCCTGGCGGCTCGGGTCTTCTTCTCTTCCACATTCAGACGGACTTCACCTCTGAACATGATAGGCTGTAAGAATCAAGGTGATGAGACTTCATCAGAATGCTTATAAGCTACTATCAAAGATTGAAAAAAAAAATTAAAAACCTACATCAAGAACCAGCAGCTTATAAATCAGCTATATTCTCCAACTTTTTGTTTTAAATCCAGAACACACAGTCCCCTTAACAAATGTGAATACATATGGACTCTAGACAGCAAGAAAGCCAATTTAAAAGGTACAGTAGCACAAGTAACTCTCGTCTCATTGTACTTCTAACACTCAAGATATTCCAGTAAAAGACAAATCTTATTATCTCAAAGAATTATATAAATAGAATGATATAAATAAGAATTGTCATGTTCTCCATGGATTTGGAGGTTTAGAATAAAGCCCTATAATCACATAATGGCAGAAGCCCTGGTAGCACAGTTGTTACAAGGCAGATAACTGAAAGGCTGGAAGTTCAAACCCACCAGTCATTCCCCAAAAGATGAGGCAGTCTGCTTCCATAAAGATTATAAACTTAGAAACCCTATGGGGCAGTCTTACTCTGTCCTATAGGGTCAGCATGATTCAGAATAAATGACAATGGGTTTTAATCACTTAATGTGGAAAGACTATACTATGCATATTTACACAAAGAGCACATCTGAAAAATGTCACAATTTGATCTAACTTTAATAAAATGCCATTCGCCTTATTAAAATTTTGGAAAATACTTAAGATGATCAAGATAACAGATCTCAATAAAGGGGGAAATAAAAGGATATATCCTACGCTAAAACTTGGGCCTTTCTAATACAGCTAAAATAGAAAACAAAAGGATACTGAGGAATATATATACTCTTCCCTAGCCATGTGATTGTCTTACTTTTTTTTAAATGAATAGCTAACAATACTTAACTCTATGCCAGAGAAGTGTTCTAAATAGTTCACACTGATAAACTCTTCATTTTCATTTTCTGAGGTAGTACTGTTACGTTATTACAGCTATTTTAGAGACTAGTAAACTATGGGCTTGGGAAGTTAAAGAACTTGTCCTGTGGGTCACAAAAATACTCAGTGGTGGGTGGAATGTAAACCAAGGAATCCTGACTGTAGGGTATGTTTTCAATCACTACTAAAGCACATTATGTAGCACAGTCATCATTTTACATACACTATTTCTACGCTCATAAAAAAATACTGAGGGAATGCAAATGACTCCTACCAGCAATACAGTGAGATGAAAAGGAAATAGCAAGTTACATTTGAAGACCACATAGTACAAAAGAATAATCAGAAAGTACACGAGGAAACAGTATTATTTTTTTAAAAAAAGAGGTTCTTTTGACCTAATTTATATTTCAAGTTTTCATTTAAATTACATGTATGTGTATGTGTGCGAAAACCCACTGCCATAGAGTTGATTCCAATTCCTATCAACCACACACACATACACACTTTATCAATCACACCACAAATATTGAGGATACTATTCTACATACAATAGTGCGGTGTAGTAAATTACTTAGTGTGGCTTTTCTATCCATAAGTCTTTGTAAACTCCAAGGTGGGAATTGCTATTAGCAACTGAGGAGATCCTGATTGCTAAAGTGGTCCACCTGGAGTATTTCTGTTGGGAGTGGCACAAAACAATGTTCTGGGAGGTTCCCACTCTCTCTCAGGTGCTTAGAGTTCTGATGCTATGATTCGCTAGTTTGACCACTCTGCCAGACTCAAAAGGAGGCCTCCTAGAGGCAGAACGCTCGCTCACTCTCTGACTGCTGGTTGAGGAAGACGTGCTGCTGAAAGAGACACGCACCCCGGGAAAGAGACATGTGTTGCTGGGAAAGAGACACAAGAGACATGCATCGCTGAGTGAGACACCGAGGGACCAGCACTGCTGGGAAAGAGACTGTGAGAGACTGTTGGCTGAGGGATGGTGGGCTGGGAAAGAGACTGAGCATTTCTCCTGAACTTGAATTGTAGCCTGTGGTGCTTCCATAATAAACCCCATAATCTGTGAGCTGTGTGTGCCCACTGCAGCGAATTATCGAACCCAGGAGAGAGGTGGTGGGTGCTTTGGGAGGAATGGTTGGTGAAAGGGCTGGAGGGAGGCAGCATGTCTGGCCTTGCAGTAAGTAATAGGCCTTGGGTTACTGCTGGTAATCCTGTCTTCCTCTTGTGGGATTAGAAGAGGTCAGAACATGTGGCCTCCTTGCCCTTTTTGCAAATAGGAAATGGAAAAGATAGGGCACTACATTCTAGAGGGAGAGGGAGAAAATACACAAGGAAACAAAATCACAATATAATATAAATATTTTAAAGAAAACAAAACCATGTTAACATCTGAAAGATGAAGAGGAAGAGGTATGGTTCAGGATGGGGTTTTTAAAAGGTGGTTATCAAAGGCATTTCTGAGTTTTCAAGATTAGAAAAGATCTGTCTGAAGCAAAGAAGGTACCAGGCACATAGCCTTTTCCTGAGGAATACTATCTCTAGCAATCCTTTTGCAAAACGATGTCATGGTTTAGACATGTGGATTAAATTTTAAAAAACCCTCTTAGAGAAGGGCAATGTACCAAATGTGAGTGACCAATATGGTGGCATTGAGGATGAGAAAGACATAGAGAGGTACACGGGAGGTACAGACAACAAAGATGAACCCTTTTGCACTTACAGTAAGTACTACATTGTCAGTGAAGGCCAACGTGTATACAGGTGGATAGATGGGTGGGCAGGCTGAACAATTAGGTATGTCTATGAAATGGGGAGTATATCCAAGAACATGTATAGGGTTGGCAGACAATGGTCCTATAAGTTTATATGAATGATCAGAATTCCCAGGTGTATAGTAGAGCTGACAAGGTGCAAGGTTGTGGTCACTACTTGGTCACACCCAGCTACCCAGAGGGGACAAGGTGCAAGGTTGTAGTCACTACTTGGTCACACCC